CCTTGGTTTACAAGCCCTCTTTTTATAGTAAGGAAAGTTAAACTGCTTCTAAGTCACAGTATTTCTCTCAGTTTGCCACTTGCCCTTATTCTCTTTATGGCATTTTAGCATACAGGAGCTTAATAATTCTGATTTTTTTTTCCTTTACAGTTCCCACTTCTGGTGTTGTGCTGGGAGAGGCCTTCACCATCCTAAGATTATTTGTATTATCTTTTGTTTCTTAAAAAAATTTTAAAGAAGACATTAAAAAGCACACAAGTTCACCACCCTAAAATTACAACATTTTTGTACTACTTTAAATGTCTTCATGAGGGGCGCCTGGGTGGCTCAGATGGTTAAGCGTCTGCCTTCGGCTCAGGTCATGATCCCAGGGTCCTGGGATCGAGTCCCGCATCGGGCTCCCTGCTAGGCAGGGAGCCTGCTTCTCTCCCTCTGCCTCTGCCTCTCTCTCTGACTTTCATGAATAAATAAATTAAAAAAGTTAAAAAAAAAATGTCTTCATGAGTGCATACACACTTTATGCACACAGATTTTAAATGGTTGCACACATTTCATACAACCTGTTTTCCAAAATATTTTCTCACACAGACCTTTTTAAAAATTGCAACTTGTTAGATCTGAATAGTCTTAAAATGGTTTTATAAATTTTTGCAAGGCCAATGAATCACATCACACCCAATTCAACGACAGTTCGAAGTTCCAGAACTGTTCATTTCTATCCCACCAGTGTCCAATTACTCTCCTTCAGTGTACACCAGTTACTGAAAGACCAAGAAGAATAAGTTCAGGCTTGGTGGTCAACAGAGTTCTGCATAATGAATTATCATTAATGATCAATTATCAGTTATCAATCATTAAAGCATTTTCATTCTGATCTCCTCTTCCATTTTCATATAAAACACTTAGGAAGCGTCTGGCTGTAAGCTGGAGCTCTGGAGTCCCTCTGTCCTGTTTAAGGCTCACCACCTACTAGGAGGCCTGACCTTAACCACTCACAGCCTCAGCTTCTCCACCTACACGCTGCAAGGTAGAGCAGACAACAGTACTTACACTTCATGAAGTCTGGTAAAGATTGCAGGTGGGTGTTTGTTCTTGAACACAGCAGGAGTTAAATGAATACTGATGCAGGCAGGGTGCTAGGCACAGGGGGCAGATGTATATCATACGTTCCCAGCCCTAATGGAGGTCTGTCTAGTGGGAGAAGCCAACAAGTCCAGTCACAGGGTAAAGTGCTAGGACAGTGACCCAGGCAGGGCCTCATGGGATCCCAGGGATGGGATGGGACGAGAAGTCAGGGCCTAAGCGGAGCCCTTTGGAAGAAGCAGGAGTCTGTCAGGTGACAGAAGGGGTTATGGTACTCTAGACAGAGGGGAAGCTAGAGCAGAAGCAGACAAAAGAGCACGGGAAACCACCACAGTGATGCTGAAGCAAGTAGTGGAAGCCAGTGAGGGGACTCTGCTTACTTGATCCAGGTTTCCCAAGGGGAAAAAAATTTAAATGACTATCAAACTTAGGCTTCACAAGTCAGCTTTTCCAACATGAGTAAGATTATGCTTTAGAAGAGGACAGTTTTTCAAATGCTGCTAAAAGCGATGACATTCCCACAGAATCCACACACTCTGAAGGCCTAAAGAAATCTTAAAATAGTATCATTTAAAAACCATCTTATTTTATAAATGAGGAAACAGAGGCCCAGCAAAGTTAAGCTCGAATCAGACCCCAGCCAGGTCTTCTCTACCAAGCAAAATGTTCTATGCAAAAGGTCCTAAGCAAAAATAAATGAATGAATAAATAAAATACATATGGCTGGAAAATATCTGTATGAATAAAAACTGTAACGTCATTAAGTATCATAATTCTGATTATCGCATGCATTATTGAATGTACATGTTATAAACAGGAAGCTGAAAGTCCTTAGAAACAGAATAAAGTTAAGGGTTTTACTCAAATCTGATTCCTCATTTAATGTTTACTTCTCAGTTTTGAAAAGCAACCGAAACACTTTACTGAAAAAGTACCAGGTATCAGAAAAAAGAGCAAAGTGAACCTAGAATTGGCCCTTAAAAATGGTATACTCTCTTCTCTAGGCATATGTAAAAGACAAAGTTCAAAACAAGCACATGGTCCCCCAAAGCCATCCTATCTATTCCAGATTGACTCAGCTGCTGAAGATACAAGGGCTGTGGTTTTGGGAACTCTGCAGGGCTGAAACAGCAAAGAAAAATACAAACACACTCCTAAGTTTTTTTGGGCCCTCATTTTTAATTTGAAGAATGGCAAGTAACAACTCCTCAATTTAAAGTACATTCATTTTGGGGCGCCTGGCTGGCTGAGTCGGAGGAGCATGCAACTCGATCTCGGGGTTCAAGCTCCACACTGGATGGATTACTTAAAAAAATAAAAATCTTTAAAAAAATAAAGTACATTCATTTTAATTTTCCACACTGAAAGAAAGGCACAGCATGTCTGCTGGGTATACTGGGAGTAAATTTCTGAACAAAGGCCCTCAAGGACCCAAGAAGTCTCTCCTTCAAGGGAGGCCACATCCAACCCCAGTAGCACCACCGGGTGGGCGCCAGCTCTTCAATAGGGAAGAAAGAGCCTCAGCTACCAAGACTGCATTTCAAAAGCAAGGCTGCAATACTTAACCCAGGGGAAAATATGTCACTCTTTTGCTAAATAAATAAATAAACAAACAAACAAATAAATAAATAAATAGCTGCACCTTAAAACTAGTTCTGAAGGAAGAAGAGCTAATTAAAGTTTCGCTACTTGTTTTCTTACCACTTTCCTGGATTTCCGTAGCTAAAGAAAACCCGAGCATTTTTTTGTTGGGGCACAGTATTCGATCCTGGGGTCTGTAACAGCAATTATAATAAAACTTGCATTCTTACCAGCATAAGACGTTTTCTGCAGCCCACATCAGAAGTGGTCAAACGCTGGGGGAAATAGTCCAGATTTATTCATTCAAAAAAACAACTCAGGTACCAAGTTCTATGCCTCTTTGGAGATGCAAAAATAAGGCATATCCCCTACCTTCAAGGAATTCATAGTCTGAAATGTATAAAGGCTGTAATGACAACACTAAGTTAATTACCCCTAGAAGACAATATTCAGCAAGAAGCAAAGGAGTCTTAGGGCTTATAATATGGAAGCAAACAGCAGAATCAGCCCAGCCATTCATGTGTCCCTTAGGCCTCTTGATGTGGCCTCCCAGACATCAGGACTGGGACACATGGCTGCAAGGACCTGAGCATGTGGCCGAGAGAGGAAGAGTATTATAAGTTAAAATCCTAGTGTAGCGACAGTGTTTCGTTTCCTTTTTAGCACAGTCGTTTTTAAAAGATGGTGCCAACGAGGAAAAAAAGCTTAATATTTTCACAGTAATTCAGCCATCCCTCTCAAACTTAAAGAGCAGTCTCCTGAAACCTCCAAAAATGGGCATAGTAGGGTTAGACTTCAGAATTGGAAATGCGATGCGACTATTTGACTTACCATGGAAAGCAACAAAGAGCACTTCCTAGTAAAAAAAAAAAAAAAATTCTAGTATTCAAGAACCCTTTTTAAACAAAGAAAGTCCAAATTTATTTTAAAACAAAACAACTGGTTTTGCTTTTCAAACACTATTTCTTACCTTGCTACACAAGCCAGAAACTCCCCAGGATTTCAGAAAATGGGGTAAACACGGTGGCCACAAAATGAAGTGTTAAACTTAAAACTGCACACACTGCTGCCGAGTGTCAGGATAGGTTTAGGTCCTAGGAACTCGGGGCTCAAAGTAAAAGTGAATTTAGTTCCCTTTCTGTCACTCCGATAAGCGCATTTCAAAGCAGCGCGACCATATACTCCACTAACTTTGTCTCAAATGCCACTTCAGGGAAGGACAATTACACACAGCAAATAAATAACTTGAGTAAGTTAACGGCGATTCCGTATTTGCACACTTACCACTAACCCCGAGTACGAACTAAAAGCAACACCAGTGATCCAATCGGAAAAGAGAATCCGGTGTTTGGCAAAGAGCTCGCTAAAGACAGAAAACCCTTAACTTTGGGGATCAGTCTCAAGGGATGTTCATGAAGCACTTCCCTCTCGCTTAACCATTTCGTCCACAGAACACAGCGCGGCACAGGCGGCGGAGAGAGGCTCGCGGCGACCCCGCCCCGCGCCGGCCGCCCGCGCCCGGGTTACCTGCGGGGTCAGCGCGCGCTCCCGCCGGGCGCAGGGCCGGGGGCGCGCCGAGGCCCGGCCCGACTCGCGGGCACCGGGGGGCTACGTCCCGTTCGGCCGCAGCGCTCGCATCCCCGCGCGCCTCCCCGGCCCGCTCCCCCGAGAGCACGGGGCAAAGGGGCGACTGTTAACCAATAATAGCGACCTGCACAGACGCAACAATGCAGGCGGGGACCCCGAGAGCCGCGGGCAGGGAACCGGAAAGCAGAGCCCGGCTCCGCGGCTCCGCGGCTCCTCCTGCGCGCGAACCCAGGACTTTCTTGAGAGCGCGAGTCGGGGAGATGGCGCGGGCGCTCGGGGAAGGGGACGAGCGGTCCCGAGGGGGTGGGGGAGAAAGGGCACGAGCCCGGGCGCCCCGAGGGGTCGCCGCACGAGAGGGGCCAAGGGGGAGGCGCGGCGCGAACGCCCGCCCGCCAGCCCAGCCCCGCAGCCCGGAGAGAGGCCGGCGCCACCAGGCCGCCGCCTCGGGCGCGATGAATCGGGCTTTTTTTCCCCCCCAGTGCGTAGTCCAGGCCTGGCCGCTCGGAGCCCGCGTCCGGGCCAGGCCAGGCCCGAGCCGGCCGGGGTGACTCAGGGCCCGGCCCCGCTCGCTCCCCTCCCGCCCCAGCGTCCTCCGCCCACGAGTCCCCCGGCCCGGCCGCCATTCCGCCCCGCGGCGGCTCGGCTCGGCGGCTCAGGCCTCGCCGGCGCCTGGGCTCGGCCGCCGCGGCCCCCGTCACTGCGACACCGCGGCTCCGGCCCGGGCCTGCGCCGCCGCCGCCGCCACTCACCCGCATTTCCCTGGTGCCTAAAGGGCTCGGGCGACGTCTCCACCTGATCGCTGAGCCCGGGCCCCGGTTAAACCCCGTCCCGCCGAGGTCTGGCTGCGTCCCTCAGCCGCCGGGGCTGCCCCTCCTGGAGCTGCGTGCGACACGGCTCCCGCCTCCTCCTCCCCTGCCCGCCCGCCCGCCCGCCGGCCCTCCTCCCGCCGCCGCCGCCGCCGCCGCCTGCACCACGCAACCTCCGCCCTCTCGCCTTTCCTCCTCGGCTCCCCGCCCTCCCGGCCTCACCGGCTCCGGCTACCGAAGGGGAGAAGCTGGTGGGGGAGGGCCGGAACGCACCGCCATCGGCGTCCGGGGCGGGGGAGCGGGGAAACCGTCGCCGCCATCTCCACACCGGCCCGAGGCGCGGGAGGGGCCCGGAAACCTGCCGCCCGGCGCGGCCACTGCCCCGGGGTCGCCCCCCGCGCCGGCCGAGGATCGCGAGCGGGGCGCGTTTCTACCTGAAAGCCCGTGGCCCCTTCCCCGAGCGCCCGCGCCATCCGCGGCCGGGCGCACCGGATCCTCCTCCAGGTTTTAGAGCCTCCCTCGCCTGTGGGAGCCTCCGAAGACCCGGCTTCCCGCCACTTCGGACCTAACGAGGAGGGGTCACCTTTTGAGGTTGGGGGCAGCAGCCCCTGGAGAAACGGCCCCAAGACACCCTGAAAGAGAGGGTCTTGCACCTCCCCCCGCCCCTCCCCTGTGCGCACGTACCACACACAGCCCGAGCCAACGTGGAACACAACCACGAGTACAACCGGTTAATGGGCCTCCCGCAACACCCCCGACGGGCCGAGGAGCGAGTCAGAGACGGGCAAGTGGCCCTGAAAATCAGGCACAGACTTCCAAGAACGTGTGGCGGGTTCTCGAGCCTCTACACTTGCAGGCCTTAGCCCTCAGTCCCTGGAAGCCTGAGCTTACGTGTGTGTGTGTCTCTCTCTCAAGTCTTTTCCGAAGGAAAGCCCAGCGAGGCTTCCCTGTGTAAACCCTTGAACCAGCTCTTTTTTTTTGGCAAATGACAAAGAATCACTTTACCATTAATCTTTGTAGAGACAAATCAAGAAGAGAATAAGGATTTACATGTGTGGATGGTAGATGACCAAAAATGTTTTCACCTGTAACCTGAGGTAGTTAATGACATTCACTTGAAATTAACCGTCACTGGGGTACTCGAAATATTCTAAATTCTAAAATTGGCAGCACAAGGGGCGCCTGGGTGGCTCAGATGGTTAAGCGTCTGCCTTCGGCTCGGGTCATGATCCCAGGGTGCTGGGATCGAGCCCCGCATCGGGCTCCTGGCTCAGCGAGGAGCCTGTTTCTCCCTCTCCCTCTGCCTCTCTCCCTGCTCATGCTTTCTCTCTCTCTCTCTGTATCTCTGTGTCTCAAATGAATAAATAATAAAAAAAAAAAATCTAAAAAAAAAAAATTGGCAGCACAAATAGCCCCTGGGCTTCCCATGGTGACAGAGGGTGGACAAAGCATGGACTTGCCCCACACCTAGTGAGGGGCTCCTGCTTTAATACCGAGGTTCCCAACATACCAGAGGGCTGGCTGATTCCATGAACAAGCAAGGAAGGATTCCCAAGGATGCTATCCGGGCAAAAGATGTGGTGAATAGCCTCCTGTTTTGCTTCAAACTAAAACAGGACAGAGATTCTAGTATGACGTTGGGGTAGAAATCCTAGGCCGAGTTCATCCCAGAGTCCACAGTTCATCCTGCGTGACATGGGTTTTTCTTAGAAGAAACATCCCATGCCCCATTTACATATATTTAACAACTTTTTGTGGGCACAGGGTAAGACTAAAGGTAAGAATGGAAGGCTTGTCCCTGTGGATGATGCTTTCCACTATACATATATGGCTTCATTTATATCTTCATTTCTTCCCCTTTACTGGAACCTGAGCTTTCCTCAGACAACGGTCTGTCTCATCTTCCCTAACCCGTGTTCTTCAATGTTATCATTCAATATGGTCTCCTTGTCTGCGACCTCCCACAGCTAATATACCAGCTGAGTGGGCCAACTTTCCCTTTACTGTTTGTTTATCCCATTCTCTGTTTTTCTTTGATAGAAGTATTTCATCCACCTATACTACCCTCTCCCTGCCTCGGTCCTGGTTGTTAATTTCCTTCCGTCCTTTTCTCTCTACCCATCTATCTGCACTATCCTTCTTAGCAGCTAGACTATTCCATTGGCCTTCCCGCCACTTCATAACCAGGCTGCATCTCTACCACTTCTACTCTGGGCAGGTAACCTTGCCTTAGACCTAACAGATCAAGGGCATCTACTCTCTTTCCGCTCCAAAAAAATCCTTTCTCCTTCTTTCTCCTCCACCTCGGCAAAATGGATGTCCCTCTTTCAGATGACACAAAATTTGGAGGGATGATTACCTGGATAGAGGTCAGAATCAAAATTCAAAATGGTCTCAGACTAGAATATTAGGACAAAACCAGTGAAATAAAATAGAACTTTATAAGTCTAAAGCAGTATGATGAAGTTCAAAAAGCCCCAGTTTTAGATTTAGGCAGACTCTCGTTTATATTCAGACTCAAACTATATTTTCCTCTAGTTAAGTCAACTGTTAAATGGGGATAAAAATACCTACCTCTTAAGGTTGTTGGGAAGGATAATTCCTTTATAATCCCAGCATAATTCCTGAAACACTAAGTATTAGTTAGCCTTTCTTTCCTTGTCTTCCATAAAGCGTCTTCCATTTTCCAAGTCACAGGGGCCTGAAAATGAAAAATTCTGACCCGTTTACCTTGTACCCCAGAGCTGGTCACCATCTTAGAGAAATCCTCTGTCTATTTTGGCTTAGTCTGTGAGGGCAGACATTATCATTATCATACCCATCTTCCAATGAAGAATCCCAGGACTCAGAGAGATAGTAGGCAATGCACTCCAAGTCACTCAGCTTGGTCAGTGGCATAACCTGATCCAGTGACTCCCAGATCCACAGATATCCACTACTTCACTAAGATAGATTCCCACACCTATCTTGTTCCTTTAACCTTCTAAAAGGTTTTCCTGGTTCTCCTCTCTTGTCGATCTGTCCAGTCTACACAGTGACTGACTGCAGAGGGTTCTTTCCCAGCGGATACTTTCATCATTGTATCTTTGTCCTTTCAACCTTTTTAATGCCCTCCCCCCTTGTTCATAGGGTTCAGTCCAAGTTCTGACTGGGCACTTAAGGTTTACCGTCATCTTGTCCTAACTTACTTTTCCAAATTTATTTCCAGCCACCTCCCAAAAGGAAGTCCCAGCTTCACCCAGTCTGGTTGGGCCTACTGTTGGCTCACAAATACCAGTCTTAAATCACTATTTATGAGTGCTCGCTTCCTCCCTTAACAGAAATAGTTCCCTCTTCCTTTCATACATTTGCAAACCCTGCTCTCTTTTTGAGATCCAGCTCACATCCCCTTCCAGGAAGCCTACTGTGCACTTTCTACCCAGGCTTTTGTGATCTCTTCCTAATTGCCAACTTATGACATATGCCTTTACACTAGATGGTCTGTGCGTTGGGTCATGCAGTAATTTCTAAAGTTCACCAGGCCCCTCAGCATTGTGCCTGAAGAACGCTGAAGAGTATTCAAACATATTTGTTTACTGATCAGATGAAAGAGTACTGTGTCACTTGACTAGCCATAGGAGCTATTACTTCTAAGAAACGAGTAAGGAATATAGCCATCCAGTGCAAAGTAAATTCATTTAATGGGATAGTTCCCAAACCCGTCTTTGCTTCAGAATCACCCGGGGACTTGAATACTGATTTCAGGGCTCATTCCAGATCGACTGAGTCAAAATCGGGTGGGCAGGGGCAGGGAGGGAACTTGAAACTGCCAGAGTTTATATCCTAGCTTTACTAATTACTAGGTAACATGAAGCAAGTTACGTAACCTCTCTGTGCTTCAGTGTTTCTTCATCCAGGAAAAGGGGGTGATAATTGTACTTTATATGAAGTTGTGAATTAAATACTAAATAAACATAACCTATGATGATGATGATGATGATGATGATGAAAGAATTACCCAGGGTCAGTCTGGTGGCCTGAGTTTGGGAAGCACTGATTTAATAATGAACCACTCCTTCCTCTGCTGAAGTTTCAAATGTTATGACCTTAAAACTTCTGGTATTAGCATTATGACATATTACAATAAGTCTTATTTGTCTTGAAAAGGTGTATTTTAAGGAAGAGGAGCCAAATAAACAGTTTTCAATTAAACTTGTTTATTGAATCCAAGTCATGCAATGTACATTATGTGTGATTTTTTGAAAAGCTAGCTCCTCTTAGAAAAACAGCTACACTACTGTAACTACACAGATAATTCAACCAGCTTAGTATTCAAAAGGAAGCTGGATAAAGATGAAATAATATCATGATTTCTTCCACTTAGGACAATGAGTCAGAAGTTCTTTTTGAAGAAGCAGATTTTTAAATCCTCTGCTTTAATTCATTAGAAAAAAATTTTCAAAACTCGTTTTGGTCCATCAGATGCCAAATCAACAATATTTTAATGATACTAAAGGTAAGTGTGTATAAATTGGGAAGCAGAGATTTTCTTCCTGAAGTGGCAAACTAACACTGGATGGGTAGACCCATCTTCGCAACTCTTGACTTTAAAATGGCCTATATCAACAAATACACAAAGGCCTTGTTTTTATTACCTATAATTCACCAAAGATTTGTAGTATCCTCTCTCTCTCTCTCTCTTTTTAAGATTTTATTGATTTATTTGACAGAGAGCGACACAGCAAGAGAGGGAACACAAGCAGAGGGAGTGGGAGTGCGAGAGGGAGAAGCAGGCCTCCCACTGAGCAGGGAGCCCGACGTGGGCCTCCATCCCAGGACCCTGGGATCATGACCTGAGCTGAAGACAGGGGCTTAACCAACTGAGCCACCCAGGCGTGCCTGTAGTAACCTCTCTTAAAAGACTTAAATAGCTCTGGGAGGGTAACAGGGTTTGAGAGTCATTCGAAGGTCAGGATTAACTAGTTCAATCAGATTGCTTTCTTTCTAACACAGGTCCATAGCATCTAAAGAATGGAAAGTTTGGGGCAAATCCTGTTTGGGAGAAACACAGAGCGCCTTGTGGCAGGCTGAAGGACTTGGGTCCAGAGCTTCTGGGGAGAGTTGC